CTGCTAGCTGCCCCCAGGCTGCCAGGGCTCAATGTGCGACCACGTGAAAAACTGACTCACTCGTCTCAACACCATAAAATGCTTCAATGTTGAAATCAGGATTGAATTGGTTTGGCATATTTTTATATTCCAGGGGTTGGTATTGAAAATGAAGCAATAGTAGTACATGGTTTGAGACACACTGGTAAAGAGAGAATAATGTAGTGTAAGAGAAAAATAGATTAGGATAAAGGAATGATATTGATATAGTCATCTAATATGAACATAAGGCCTCTCTCCTCGCTGAGCTGGCAGGAGACTGACCCTTGACACCTCCTTTCTTGAGGGGAAGAAGCAGTCAGGGTAAGGGAGGGAAAGAAAAGCATTTATGCAGAAGTGGCTGTGGGGTGGTGCAGCAATAGTGCCCATGCTGCTTCCTTTCAACCTGAGAAAAACACCTTGGGAGGTCAATGTCCTTTCATCTGCTCCCTGGCCTCCTGGCCCAAGGAAGGACATGGCCTTGGTGCCTCTCTTTTGCAGACTGGGGCTTCAGCAGCTGGGGCACTTCAGAGGGGGAGCAGCTCCTCCCCTGCAGCTCTCTCCAACCTGCTGCACCCCGCCATGCCCACAGCTGCATCTTCCAGTGGTACATGTCCGCTTGGACGCCTGGGACACTGTGGCAGAACTGGACCCCTGTCAACACAACTTCTTCTTCATCTGCATGAAGCAGTTGTCCAAAACCAAAGCCAAACACCCACTCTGTAAGCCCTTCCGATTCATCCTGCACTCTGTGGTGGACAACGATGACTTCCAGGAGCTCAGCATCCGGCCACTTGCAGGTGCTGCTGGTAACTCTTTCCTTCTCCCATCATTCCTTGTTCAAAGAACTCCTTACCAGGTCAGCCATCCTTCTGGCAGAGATACATTTGTCCCGTTTAGTGAGGTGGCTCCCATCTCTCCCAACCAGATGTTGGTCTTCAGATAGGATCTCACAGTCATAAAAACCAAAACGCTGTTGCTGACACCTTCTTCCCATGAATCTGTCTAATCGCTTCATAACCCTTTTATGTTCTTAGCATCCACAGTATCTGGTAGCTACAATCTCAGGCATCACTTTGTGGAACAATGTTTGCTCAGCTTTATTTTGAACAGCTTTTGCTGGATATCGCCTTGATCCAGACTTAGGAGAAGCAGTTAGGGCAGAAGTCATCAGAGGGACAATGGTATTTAAAGAGATTAAATCCCTGCCTCATGTAGGAGCAAAAATCACAAAGACTTTCTGGTCACTTTTGAAAATGTGGCCACCCTTCTTTGTATGTACTTATATGGATACCTTATCTTATGCACCAACAACTGTAGTGATTAAACTTAAAAACAAGGCTTAAATTGGTTGTCCAGGCTGCCAGCTGCAGCCTCTATTGCAGTATATCATCCTGAAAGCAAGACCTTTTTCTTTCGGCAAGGGATGACCTGGCGTACCTGAAACACACAGGAATAGGAAGAAAATGGACATCCATAAATGACCATAAATTTTTTTTTGGGGGGGAAACCTCCACGGGAAGTTTGGGACTGCACATGAAATATGATTAAAAGGCTACAAGCCCCCGGACTTATTCCAGTGGGGTCTGCACAGCTGCCATCACCTCAGTGTCCCTGGCCGGGTGGAAGATTGAACGTCATCTCATACACCCGATCAGAAGACTTTACAGGGACACGCTGGCGAACCACAGAGACCACCAAACAGAGGAGGCTTGTCTTTTAGGGCAGCAGGATCCCAGGGGGGACAAAGCTTCTCAGTTACGTTCTGTTCACCGGCCTGAGGCAGGGCAGCCCCTCCAAGCACTCAGCAAAGCCAGCATTCGGACCAGGAGCCTGGCTCGGCTAAGCAGGGGGCTCAAGGCAGAGCCCCGGTGCGAGACGGCTGCTTCGGGAGCCGGAGGCAGGGACAGGCTGCAGGGGAGGGACACAGAAACGACGCCCAGGCACATCGGGATGGTGTCAGGAAAGCAAAGAAGCTCTGCTGCAGATGAGACTCGCGAGGGGCCCTCAAGGGAAGTGACTCTTCCCTCCTTTCAGCGCCCGTGAGCCCTCGCCTGGCGTGCCGCGGCCGCCTGATGCCGCCCGTACGTGGGGAGGGACGGACAGACCGCCACCAGCCCAGGGGAGCTTCAAGATGGCGGGGCGGGAACAGCCGGCACCCGGGGATGGCCCCGCCCCG